TCTCTGCTATAAGTACACCGCTTGGCTGGCAAGGTTAACAATCTTGCTTAACATTTTGCCAAGTCACACCACTTTGAAAACATGGAAACAACATAATGTAAACATATATACAACTATAAACAAATATGACTTCATATAACACATATAAACACAATATATAACAATATTAAATGACAAATATATTTATCAAAAACTATGAAAAAAATAAAAATATTAAAGTTACACATACAAAATGTGCTCACAACCTACAAACAGTAAATTTTAGAAATGAAAATATTAAGACTATAAATTAAGAACATTAGAAAATATAACATTATTTGTGTAGTATTTTTCACCTACCATACCTTGAATAGGATGTTTATCAATTTTGAAAAACAAACTATTAAATGCTCTAGTTCTTGAACATGCAACGTATAGTTGACCATGGGAGAAACACGGTTTTTTTAGATATACCCCAACTCTATCAAATGTTTGACCTTGACTTTTATTGATTGTCATCGAATAAGCTAATCTGACAGGAAACTGACGACGTTTTAGAACAAAAGGTAAATTAGAATCTGATGGAGCCAACTGAATTCGAGGAACAAATACCCGTTTACCTTCAGAAACACCTGTCAAAACCTCTGCATCAATATAATTGTTTTGGAGAGCACAAACTTTCATTCGGGTTCCATTACATAGCCCAGCTTTAAGATCTAAATTTCTAAGTAGCATAATTACACAACCAATTTTCAATTTTAAACAATGAGTAGGCATACCTGAAGGAGTTAGGCTGTTCAAAAACTCAACAGGGAAATTATTTCTTTCATTAAGATCGTCAGTGTCTATTTGATCAGCACTTAAATAAGTTTTGACCTCTCCATGTAGACGTTCAAGCACTTCTTCATTAATTGACAATGAATCCACATTGGTGGGTGTTAAAATGACACGTTTAGCATAATCATCTTGTTGAGCATCTCCAAATATTTTTTCAACAATTGATTCGTTTTCTATAATAATGCACTGTTGCGGTATTTCAATACATCCCTTAAAAGGATCTTCCTCCTTGCCAGGTATTGTTCCACTACCAAGTTTTAACAGCCATTCGGAAAAATCTCGTTCTCCATCACGTACTCTCATATTTTCAGTTAATGTAAACTTCTGCACCCATTGCCACTGTAAAGAACATTTTATACATGATTCTACAACTTCAGCTGGTCTCCCTCTTTTCACAACAGGCAAAATTTGCCTAAAGTCACCACCAAAAAGAATGACTTTTCCTCCAAATGGAAAGTTGTTGTTGCAAACATCTTTTAACAACCGATCGATTGCATTTAAAGCGTGTTTGGGAATCATGGATGTCTCGTCAAACATAAACAAACTAACTTGCCTTAAAAATTGTCCCTGAATAGAGTTAGGAGTCACATTACATGTGCTGTTATCCAGTATTGGGACAGGAAGTTTAAATAACCCGTGCAGCGTAGATCCATTTGTAAGAAGAGTTGCTGCTATGCCAGTCCATGCAGCTGTAGCAGATTTAACACCCCTACTGCTCATTTCAGCAATCAAATAATTATATGTAAAAGTTTTGCCACTACCGGCTGGTCCATCCATAAAAAATAATCTGGAATGTTGATTTTCTACACATGGTTGCTCGTTCAATGCAGCAAGGACAGCATTACTTACATTTAATTGATTGACATTAAGAAGCGGTCTCATTCGATTAGCTTCGTCAATTGATTGCTGAACATTATCATTTAAATTTTCTAGATTAAAATCTATGAATTCATCAACAACAGGCAAATTATAATCAGATAGCGTTTTACCACTTTGATTAATAATCTTTTCAATTTGAAGAAGAGTAGCTTGTTCAGCTAATATAAATGGAACTTGGCGATGAATAAAATCCTCCATCATAAAGGCTTTGTACGAATTCCAAAGATGCAAAGGGTCATCAGGTTCACAAAAGGTTAAAATAATTGAAAACAGCTGCCTGATTTGCTTAGGCATTCGCGTTAAAACTGCCTCAGAAAGAGTGTTCTGCCATTCAGTGTCATCTTGCAACAAACCATTAAAAACACACGCTTCACGAAAGGTTTCAAGAACTATTCCATTAACAGTACGCAAATCCTCCCAAGATTTTGCTCCTTTTGCTTGTAAAAGTAACAATCTAAGAAAAAATAATTCTCCTGTTGGACTAACTTTATACATTCTTACTATCACCTTATTTCCACCTCTTTGTCTAACCTTCCATTTACAATGTTTATCATCAAATACAAAGTGATATGGAATGTCAACATATGAATTGCGATTGGCTCCTTCATTTTCAGAATTCAATTTAAACCAGGCCGTAAGGTGTTTATCACGTTGAGCAGCACGATCTAACGCCACTTGTTCTTCTCCTTCTCTAAAATACACAATCTGATTCTCAGGAAGATGAACCTTAAGACGGATAATAGAGTGTGACATATGACTTATGGGATACTCAAATATTCGCCACAGCGCCTCAGGTGCACTAACATAACGACAATCTAAGAAAGTGTTTATTTCATCGTGATTAACCTGTTCATTTATCAAAACATTCGCACAATCATGCCCTTTGTATATGTATTTATACAAATATTTAACAGCCTTCACAGACATGCAAGCTTCAACATTAATGTGGGCTTGATATTTTTTTGATAACCAAGGATTATAAGGTACCACCCAACGGTTATCTACATTATTGCCTTTAATATTGATAACCAACCCATTATCACGACGCCTATAGCGCGGATAACCATTGTGAACAGGTACTGTGTTGGCATTAAAATCTTTAGGATATTTTTTGCTGCACACCCCATCTTTCATGCAGGGAGAATTTGGATTCAGTATCCCACATGGGCCGTGAATCATGCAAGTTTTGATAATATCATAAAGTTCACAATTAACTATCGGATCTGGAATTTCTGCACAAATCAAATTATCGATATCCTGTGATGTTTCAAGTTTATCATCATTTGCTAAATGAAGTAAAATGTGGGCATGCGGCAAACCACGCTTTTGAAACTCAATAACCTGAACATGCGTTACAACTTTGCCTAATACATCATGTTTGAATATATCATTGAGGAGGTTATTTAACTTGAGTTTAAATACTCGAGTAACCAAATCAGGTCTATCATTCGCATTCTGACCCGGATATAAATTTTCTGTTATTTCACGCCATTTTGGGTTGCAAGTAAAAGTTATAAAAAGATCTGGTTTACCATACTTTTTAATAATTGCCATAGCATCTTCAAAGTTTTCTTTTAAAGCTCTAGGACTTCCTACATAGGATGATGGCAAAACTACTACTCGCCCTGGTATAATATTACGATCATTGGCAATGTTGTTAATATGTTCATGTAAGGCATCGTACTGCTCGCTTCTCAGCTTATTTTGATTATTTCTGATAAAAGCAAGACGCTGGCCTTCAATTTTTACATATGCATCTACAGCATACTGCTGAAATAGTTTCTTGCCATAAAATAATGAACAGAAAAATTGCCTAACAGAAAGTCTATAATTGTAGAACTGAGATAATGTAACATGATTTCTAACCAGTGTGGCACGCTCAGGGTTATGCACCAATTGATTATGCCAACCAGCATCACCTCTTGGAAATAACAGCGGATAAACCATAGAATCCAAGTTGGCTGACATACTTGATACAATTTTTAAAGGATGACCTCTTGGGTAAATAACAACTTCCCTGGAAGTTGGGGGAGCACCATCTTCGCCAACAAATACAACTGCAACTTCATCATGTGAAGGTAGATTATAACGACGTCTATCACCGCCTTCAAGTAAAGACATTTTTACAACAGAAGCTGAGCGACCTTCTATAGCCGCCTTACGAATTTCTTCATCTTCTACTTCAGCCATGTTTTTAAATGCAAGAGCAAATGGACTTTGTTCCATAATTATAGTTTGCAATTGAAACATTAAATCACGTAAACAAAGATCATTAGCATAGTGTTGCATTCTAAAATTTAGTGCAGCAAGTGGATCATAAATATATAGTTGAGAATATATTGGTGGAATATCTTGATCTGGCCTAAGATTACCTACACGATGAAAAATCTGGCCACATATTTTAAAACATGGAAGCCCATGATTCATTGGTTGAACTACATTTGCTGTAAAATAAGAAAAAGAAAGGCAGGCATTATAATTTCGAATATGTTTTAAAAAATTAGCATTAGCATTACAATCTACATAACTCCCTGTAAACAAATCCTGTAAAGCTTGTGTAATTGGTGAAAGTGGAGGCAAAGCTACCTTACCATTATGGCAACATAGAAAATGTGTTTCATCTGGAAATTTCTTAGCACCACAGTGCTGACAAATTTGATTCATTTCTCCTAAGTAATTATAATCTGGAATAGCATTACTTCTCGCTATAGAATACATTCGTCCTTGTCGAACAGCTCTTCTTTCATTTTGGCGACGATTAACATTATCTCGATCGAGCCTATTTCTTTCATTTTGGCGACAATTAACATTATCTCGATCGAGCCTATTTCTTTCATTTTGTAAACAATTAATTTCATCTCGCCTAAGTCTATTTCTTTCATTTCGTCTACGATTATTTTCAACACGCCTTATAGCACTTACATCATCTTGTAAATACAAAACTACATCTAGCCTATCATCCATTTCAATGTCATCATTTTCATTAAACATATTTATTAAAGCAACACTAATTATTTCTTTTTTTTTTTACTAATCTAAAGTTAACAATAAAATAAAAAAACTTAATAACTAAAAAAATCATATTTGAAAAATTAAAAAAAAAATTTTCAAAACAAATATATATAAAGAAACCAAACAAATGCAAAATAAAATTAATTTGCTCTCATCAAAAGTAATACAGGTTTCTTAAGTTTATTTGATAGAAGTTAAAAAAAACCTGCAACCACATCAGCAAAAACTTATTTTATTTCTAATAAAAAAAAAAAAAAAATTGCGACAGAGTCATAGTTCATGCGTTGGGAGAAAACATTGAACAAAACACGTAATAAAACTTATTAATGCATTATTAATGCATTATGTATGATAGAAAACAGGTTATTAACGCGGGTTTATAAATTTTTTTCTCCTAACACACTATTATGCTGTCGCAACTCCAAGGATATATATAGTTATATATAGTTATATATAGTTATATATAGTTATATATAGTTATATATAGTTATATATAGTTATATATAGTTATATATAGTTATATATAGTTATATATATATATATATATATATATATATATATATATATATATATATATATATATATATATGTATATATATATATATATATATATATATATATATATATATATATATATATATATATATATATATATATATATATATATATATATATATATATATATATATATATATATATACAGAACTATTTATTAGTGAAAACATATGAAAACCAAAATTTTTTTTACAATATATATAGTATATATTTGATAAATAAACCTCTACAATTTCTTTGGTTCAACAACTCGATAATGATTAATAACAACTCTGTAAACATGAATTTTCTAATAATTTAAATCTTAATAAATTATAACAATTAACTACTTATTTAAACAAATAATTACTTATTAAATTTTAAAAGATTTTATATATACGTAATGTCTACTTAGAAATACTTAATGTCTATTTATACATTAAAAAGATCTACAATTTTGAAAACCTGAAACTTTAAATCTACCTCAAAAAAAAACAGATATATATTGAAAAGTATTTTTATTTCTTTTTAAAAATTTAAAAATGCTTTTTAACTTACTCCCTCCAATATTATTATATAATTTATAGTATATATTGATAAATAAACCTCTACAATTTTCTTGGTTTAACAACTTTTTTAAACTTGGTTTAAAAAAATTTCTAATAAATACATATTTAGATACCTTAAAATGAAGCATAACACAACACACTTTTGACAAAATCCAGAAGAAATTTTCTTAATTTTTTTATTCCTTATTATTTTTCCTTAGAGAATATATATATGTAGATATAGAGAAATATAAAATAGACTGAAATAAATCGAAAACCTTAATTTATGTATGAGAAAATAACTTGAACTTACTAAAAAAGCGATCAGCTTCTCTAAAACTGCTCTAAAAAATAAAACAAATACTGCTTAAAATGTTGTACTAAATAAACTATTTAATAAAATGTTGTACTAAATAAACTATTTTACCAGTCAATTTAGTTCTAACTTAATCTAAAAAATGAAAAATAAATACATATTTAGATACCTTAAAATGAAGACAACACAACACCCTTTTGACAAATTCCAGAAGAAATTTTTTTTATTTTTCTACTCTCAATTATTTTTGCTAAGAGAAAATACATATAGATATACATATATATATACATAGCAAACTAACAATTATTTAAATTTTTATTTTAAAAAACAAACAACATTAGTTCTTCTTGAAAATAAATGTATCAGCTCCAATTTGATTGCTGATTTTACTCGAATGACCGCATGGAATATATAACTGCGCTTAGAAAATTCTAGAGGCAAAGAAATAGTATATTTTACATAATGCAGAACCGTAATTAACAAAACGAACAATAGGCGTAACAATGCGTAACTATGCGCATTAATATTCATAGGCTATTAATTATAGGCGATGTCAACAAAAAAAACTTTTTATCAGTTTTTTGACAAATTGATTAACAATTATTCTTCATTAAAAAAAAAAAATTAAAGTTATTAACAAAACTTAATTTCTTTACTTATTTTTTAGGGTTTAGTTATTGCATTCACATAAAAATGACTTTAAAAAATGGCTCATTTTTAACAATTAATTTGAAATTTTTTTTGTAATTTAGAATGATTTTATTTTTAGATATCATTTTATTTTATTTTTTATTATTTTACTTGATATTTTTTTAATATTGTTTTCGTATATACTTGTTGAAAATTGTATACTGATAATAATTCTGCAGATCTTACTGCTCTCTACTAACTGTACCACTTCATCTTTTTTAAAAAGCTATTAAATTATGTTTATACAAGCTTAAAAGTACTTTTATTTTTATATTTCATAACACAAGTAACTTTCATTAGAAAACTGAATGAAAAAAATTAAACACTAATAAGAACAATACTAAAATCATCGAACTTTTAAATTAAAGTTCCACCATGATTTTTATAAGGCTAAAGTAAGTAAAACACTAGTCTATCCTAATTTAATTATATATATATTTTATATAATTTTATTTACCGGTACAACATTAATAATATATTTTTATTCCAGTTTTACAAACAACATATCAAGGCAATATAAAAGTAATGTATAAGGATTATGATTACAGAAATAAGCAATACTATAAATTTTGGTAATCTAATAAACTTCACTTTTTAAATCATAATAAAAATGATGATCTAAAGTTGGTGCAGAACTGCTATGTATCCCTATCAAAGGAATGGTAACTTTTCCAAACAACGGTGAGAATCCTCAAGTACCGAACAAGATATAAATAGTATACTTTGAACTTTACAGCTAAAAAACTTTGAATAAATCAATTGCGGACTTCTAAAGTTTAAATTTCTTCAACATTTAAAATACATTTCATTCTCGGAAATGATACTTAATCTATCTACTTGCGCATTTTGCATCATATTTTGACCATTTAAACTGCAAAATTAAGTTAATGAGTCAGCTAAGCTATCTTTAAAAGGAGCAAGATATACACCAACTTTAAAATCGTATTTTTCAATTAGTTATTACAACACGTTTATTCTTCTCCGTATTAATATTTCACCAGTTGCTTTTGACTTTGATTTTAATTTACCTGTTAGTGCGTTATAAATCCAGTTGAACACTGCTGCAAAATCTTTAAACATTGTTACTTTCTCTAGTTTATATACCAATATCCTTTTTATTCCTCACTTTACCACGTCTAACTGTGCCATGTTTAAATGAATTTAAAACCTTTTCTTTTGAAACGATGTTGCATCTTCCACAGTTGCATTAGTAATTTTTTAATTTTTTTTTTAATTTTTACGTGTTTATTTTACAACTACAAAGTATTTACAAGTAACCACAGATTGGCGGTAAAGATATACAAACATAAAAATCATTAACATAAAGTAAGAAATATACGAAGTAAGCAAAAATATAGTTTCATACAACTCCGAGACAAGATTAAAATAAAAATTACAACAATGTAGTAACGTGCACGTAAAAATAATCCGATAAATATATCTTTATATTATTCCAGTTAAAATAAAATAATACAATAAATATAAATAAATTAGCTTATTTTTCGGAGAAGTGTTTAGATGTTTGACTATAAGTTTATTTGCCACATTTCAATCTAATGTTTGTGTATAAGTATAATAAAAACAAAATTTGTGTTAGATTGATAAGAAGAATTACTTGTTAATAGTTTTTCTGTTGACATCAAACCTTGCATTAAATTTTTGAGTAACTTTCTCATGAAAGATATTCTTCAAATTTTGTATGCATATTCTTTCTTGATGACAATTTAATATTCAACAACTACTTTTGCAATTAATGAATTAATTTAATCACTTTATTAATTAAGTTTATTTTTAAAATGGGAAGAAGAAAAATACTTTTTATATACAATAGCAAAACTTCATAAAAAATACATTCAACCACTAAAATAAATCGTGTTATCAAAAAAAAAAAAAATGATTATAAAGTTTGTGTTTTATTATCACTTAAATAATCGGGTTTTAAAAATTCGTTTTTATTTTTGCTTGTTTTTCAACCGGCCTAATGTTCAAAAAGAAAATAAATTAAATTTTTATAAAGTCGCTAAAAAAAGTGTTTCAAAAAAAACTTTCAGAGTTTTAAAATCTGCAAATTATTTACAAAATAAGAATCAAATTTTAAAAATTAAAGTTGTAAGCTTTACATCTTCTCATCTTTTTTTTTTTTACCACCATCATTAAATATAAATAGACTTAAGACAATACATGAAAAAAAAAAAATTAATATTACAAAAACATAATCTGAGTATTTTATATAAATAATGTAACGTACTATTAATACCAAGTTAGAACTCATGATTTAAAAACAGGATTCAGAGTATTGAGGTTTGCACAATGAAATATGAAGTTTTAAATGAAATTAAAAACTATTTTTTTTTTTTTTTTTTTTTATAACAGCAATACTTATTCTTCGAAGCTATGAAAATTTTTCTAGTATAACGGTATTATTATTTTTTATTTTTTAACTTTTAACATTGAAACAAAAGAAAAGAAAAGCGTTTCTTAATTCTAGTGTTCGTTTAAATTAAAATGCTTTGTTTGTTTAACTGAACGAATTATGGAATAATGATAGAAAATATATTAAAAAGGCAACTTAAATTAATAAGTTTAAATATATTTGTTATCTGTTTTTAAATAGAAAGCATTCAATAATAATACTTCCTTTTTATTTTTTGTTAAACCGACAATTGCTTTGTTGCAAATAAAATGAGGCTATTGCAGTCTTTCATTTTTAAAATTTTATTTCGTTCAAAAATTTACCGATGATTTTTATGTTATATTAATTGTCCATTAGTTCTATGGAGACTTAAAAATAGTGATCATCATTGTTACAACTACACAACACTAATAAAATATTATTGTTTATTGTCCATATTTAACTCTCCGAAACAAATATAAATTTATAATTGCGAATTTTGAAATGAAATAGTTTACATTACTTTTATAAAACATTGGTTACATTCACATTACCAATAAAATATAATGACCAAACATTAAATACACATATTTGTTCAATATGTTAAATAAAATTAATCATTAAAACTTATTCAGGTCTTTTAAAGTTTAAAAACTTTCCATAACATCTTTATAAAATGGATATACCGCATTTTGCTAACAAGCTTTAATTGGATATACAGTATTTTGAAAATAAATGCAAACTTATTGACAAAAAAAATAAATTTTTTTATTTAATAATATTTTATTTATTTACATTATATAATATACTTTATGTATATATACATTAAGAAACAATAATTTTTCCAAATATACGAGACATGTTGGTGTGGCGAAAAAAGTCAATCATCTAAATATTACAAATATATATATATATATATATATATATATATATATATATATATATATATATATATATATATATATATATATATATATATAATATATATATATATATATATATGTATATATATATATATATATATATATATATATATATATATATATATATATATATATATATATATATATATATATATAATATATATATATATATATGTATATATATATATATATATATATATATATATATATATATATATATATATATATATATATATTTATTTATATATATATATATAAATGTTTTTTTTAATTTTTAATTAATTTTGTTTTTCGCACGATCCAAAATCGAAAAGCATTCGTCAATATAATTTGTAAAATATTTTTCTTTTAAGTGAAAATGCTTATAAACAAAAGAGTTTTTATTTCTTCTACAGTGTTTAGTGTTTAGTAACTCGCGTCTTTAGGTGGCGAGAGGTGTCGCCTAAAAAACAGGATTTACATCCTGCACAAACAAGTTTGTAGGTGACGAATGATTTAAAATTTACAGGAAGGTGATCTTTAGATTAAAAAAATATAGACACTTTTAACGAAGTGAATACTAATTTTACGTTAACCGACTTTTAATGTCTCATATAATATATAAAGAACGCTGAGACTCGCAGAAGACCATTAGGTCTTGTCACCAAGAACCGCTCGTGATTTAAAACTTCATAAAATTCAATATGTATATAAATAAAGTCAAGCGCATATATAGTTAATCACATTTAAGTGCATGTTCTTAAACATATTCAACTGAATAAATTAAAATAATGCATCAAATTGATAACGTTTAAAAATATGACAATATATCATAATGAGACAAAATGATTTCTTTAAGCTTATTTCTAAAAGAAAAATAACTCCATTGCAGAGAAAAATTAAAATGTTTTAAAACTATTTTGTTCCAAAGAAAAGCTCCTCGAAAAGAAATACTTGAAAAATGGTTGACGAATTAAATTTTAATTTCTTAAATTGTATTTATTTTTACATTTCAGCGTGTATAAATTATGGAAAGAAACTGGGGAAGAGTTAGTTTTACATTTATACATAAAACAAAGAATATTAAATACATATAGCTGATATATATTAAGGATTTTTATTTTAAATAAAATGAGGCTTGGCATGAGTAAATCTGCTTTTAAAATTAATAAGAGCAACATGCTTCTGTTGACGATAAAGAGGCTTTAGTTTACATTTATTGGCATTGCACCAAGCATTGTATGCATAGTTTAAATGACAATGGATAAAATAGAAATATAATTGAATTAGACTATGTTTATTTAACGAACCTCTAGCTTTACATTACAATATATCTATACTTTTAGCAGTTTTATTACACAAGAATTTAATGTGGTATTTCCAACTAAGGTTTTCATTAACAAAGATACCCACAAAATTAGTACTAATTACTCTTTTTATTTGGACTTTATCAATGAAAAGTAATGGTAGTTCTCAAGGAAGTAGTTTTTTTTTTAGACGCTGGATGAAAAAATGTCAATTTTGTTTTTTCATCATTTAGTGAAAGTTTATTCATTTTAAACCAATCAGATATTTTTGTTAATTCCATGTTCATATCTCGAAATAATGTAGTTATGCTATTATCAGACAACAAGAGGTTAGTGTCTTGTGCAAACATGACTGAAATCAAATAAGAAGCTTTATGAAGATCATTAATATAAATGAGAAATAGAAGGGGTCCTAATATTGAGCCCTGCGGAACCCCACAGGTTATGTTTAATAAATTAGATGGGTTAACTTCATTACTACCCAGTAAGCACAAAGACGTTTAAAAGACGTTTTAAAGATGTCTTTAAGGAGGTCTAAAAAGCGCACTTGTAGACGTCTAGATCATAAGGCTAAAAGACGTCTTAATGAAGACGTCTTTATAAAAACGCGTTTTAGACGTATTTTAGTTGTTTTTTATCAAGATGAATTTAAGTACATGACGTAACATTTTCACGTAGTATGTGGTATATATTCATTGTATTTTTAAAATCATATATTGTTATAATTTCGTATATGCAAAATATACATAGGAACCAGCAATCAAAATAATATTGCTGTAATCACCACAAACGGTTGATGCATAATATATAACAATAACAAATATATATCAAAACAGTATTTAAAACATTTATAACTTACCTTTAGTTATAATAAAATTAATATACGATGAGCTAGCTAATTTTTGACCGCATACTTGAATTATTATATGGCTTGTGGGTGTATAAAAACTAAAAATACTGATATTTAACTTATATATTATTCTTGCCATTTTCACTTATTATCATGATCAGTCAACTATCTATTAAAAAAGCAAAATAATTATTAATAAAAAAAAGATATATTAATATTATAGCAATTATTTTAGTGATTCCTGTGACAACAATTTTAGCAATTGTGTAAAAAAGTAATTTAATTTAAAGTAATTTACACTTAAAACTTAAACAAATTATTGAAAATAATAAAAACTATGTTTTTACTTTGAATATACGACATCTACTTAACGCGTAATGACAAAGCCGTCAAAAAGAAGTCATAATGACATATTTATAAACAGGTCTCAGAAAAGACGTCTTATAGCCTTGATCTAGACGTCTTTTAATGCGTCTTTTAGACTATTTATTATGCGTCTTTTAAACGTCTTTTTAAACTTTAAAAAGACGCATTTTAAACGTCATTTTAAAATCGCATTTATTAAAGACGTCTAAAAGATGTCTTAAAAGTTGACGTCTTCTAGACGTCTTTTTATCTTTTAAAAAGACGCCTTTTAAACGTTATTTTAAAAACGCATTCATAAAAGACGTTCAAAGATGTCTTCAAAACGTCTATAAAAGTGCGTCTTTACCTAGACTAGTTTTAGACGTCTATAAGTGTCTAAAATGCGTCTTGTGCTTACTGGGTATGAACAAACTGTTTGTGGTTACTTAAGTAACTTTGAAGTAACTTTAAAACAATTTCTTTAATTCCATAATATTTGACTTTTTTAAGGCGAATTTGGTGATCGATTGTATCAAAAGCTTTTGATAAATCTATGAAAACTCCCTACGTATAATGGGAATTTTTAAACGATTAAGAAATACTACGAGTTATATGGAGTATCGCGTGTTCTGTTGATGTATTTTTTTTGAACCCGTATTGATTAGTATAATTTATATTATTTAAAAAAAGGTGATTATGAATTACGTTATATAGTATTCTCTCTAATACTTGAGAAAAAACAGGTAAAACAGAGATTGGGCGATAATTGGTAAAATTTGTAGTATCACCTTCTTTGAAAATTGTTGTGTTATTGGCTATTTTAAGATGGTCTGGAAATATTCCCTGTTTTATTGAACAGTAAAAAACTTTAAATAGTACATCTTACAAATGTTCATACGAGTCAATGACCACATTACTAAATATATCGTCGTGACCGACAGATTTATTAGACTTTAGCATTTTAAAAGATTGCTCAAATTCTTCAAAAGATAATTCAAAGGAAGTTAGAGACGAAGTTAACGGAAAATTAATGTTATCCATTTTATTTATTACAAAAGGAATTTTTTTTGCAAGGTTTGGGCCAACTAACACAAAGAATTTATTTAATTCATCACATATCATTGTTGGATTGGACAAAAATTCATCATTAGTTTTTAAGATTACAGGCAGTGCGCATGTTTTTGTTTTTTGCATGCCAGTAACTTCTCTTAGAATTTCCCAGGTGCGTTTAGAATTATGTTTGTTCATTTCAAGTAGATTGGAGTAGTACTGTTTTTTTAAATTCTTTCTTTGTGTTTCAAACTTTCTGACATAATTTTTATAAAGAATCTTACTTTCTTGTGTTTTTGTTTTCAAGTATTTAATATTTAATTTTTGCTTATTATTAGAAGATTTTTTGAGATCTTTTAAAGTTAATTAATTAATTAACTTTAAAAGATCTCAAAATTAAAAAATTAAAGTACATTTTGGAAAATTTACGTCGTATATTTCATAAAAAGTTTTGAAGAATGCGTCATAAGCATTACGTCATTAACGTCATTAACTACATTAACGTCAGCAGAAGCATTTACGTTTTTCCAATGCAGTAGGGATAACTGCTCTTTAAATTAATTTAAATTCGCTGACGTAAAAAAGCGTATTTTAAAATTTACATTCTGTTGGGGTGTTTTTGCTGTGGCAGTGTTAATTGAGAATAGAATTGGGAAGTGATCAGAGATGTCACATTTAATACTTCCTTTTCCAAGAGATTTATAAAAAATATCAGTTAAAATAATATTGTCTATTGAAGTAACTGATGTCTCAGTTATTCTAGTTGGTTTATTAACTAACGGAAACGCTCCGTGTTTAAATAAATCATTATAAAAATTTTAATCCCACAATTGGTTTGGTATTGAAAACAATCCAAATAAATGTCACCTATCAGGTAGTATAATTTCTTTTCTTGAGTGCTAATTCTTAAAATATCATTTAAAACTAAACTGAATTTTTTAATTTGCCCAGAAGGTGGGCGATAGCAATAACTTATAATTAAATTTTTATATATTTTTTTGTTTTAATTTCAACTGTTAAAACCTTTTTATCGTCATCAGAGTTAGTCATGTCATGCCTAATTAAATAGCTCAAACATTCTTTAATATAAATTGCGACACCACCGCCTCGCTTTTCATTATGACGCTCTAAATGAATTATTTAGAAACCTGATAAACAGTATTTTGAGTTAGAATTTAAGACTTCCGAGCTGCAACAGGCTTCAAACATGCAAATTAGACCAAAAATACTAAGGGATTCTTTTAAATTTGAACAAAAGTTTTCAAAATTTTTTGTTAAGCTTTTTATATTAACATACAAAATGTTAAAATTATTTGAAATAAAAAATTCTTCAATCTCATTAAAATAATAATACAAGCAATTGCTTTTTATTGCACATGCTTCGAGAAAATAATTATGGACCGGGTCCGATTTGAAGTTGTCTAATAAACCATCAGTTTGAAAAAAATCAAAAGAGTTTTAACCCGAATTTTTTGAGTTATTCGAATCCATTTTTATTTTATTTGTAGTTATTATTTGATAAATAAAAGAGTTTCTTTTAAAAATCCCGTGTTACTAGTTTATTATAAACAACTTTCGCATACTTACCTTTTTGTCTTCAGCGTCTTTAAACGTCTTCAGCGTCTGTAAACAATTTTTTACGAAGTCGACTTGTTTGTTTGCAAAAATCTTCGTTAATGAAAAAACGATCATTCCAAAGTTTCATTTTGATATATTTGTCGAGTATAGCTGTGTTGTCTTTATAATTAAGGAGTTTTACAACTATTGTTCTGTGTTTTTTTATTATTTTCACATTCATCTTTTTTTCCAACTTGATGAGCCCGTTCAAAATTGTCTTTAATTTCAAGTTTTGTTAATAGTAACACCGTAACTTTATTTTTGCAATCATTCCAACTTTCATTATCAGATCCATCAATCCCGTTAATTCTCAAATTATTCCTCCTGCTTCTGTTTTCAAGCTCTGCTATTTTATCTGCCATGGTTTCTGTTATATTGTTTTCAAGAATACTTGGATTCGTGTGTTCGTTTTTAGACTTAACTTCGGCAAGCTCAACTAAAACTTTGTCATATTTATCGCTAAAAAAACTGATACCTTTTTTAAAATCGTTTAATTAATTTTTAAAAATATTATTTTCATTACTTAAATTATTAATTTTAATCCCCAATCTATCAATTTTATCAGTCAAAATTTTTAAAAACGTACTAACATGAAGTTCTAAAATTTCTTTTACTTGAGCAATTGTAAACTTTTTTGCCATTTTGACTTCCCTGTTTTGCAGCAAAAACACGTCCGTTCACGGTGACTTGAAATAATATTAAAAAATTTTTCATGATTTTAAAAGCAATATTACATTTTATGCTGAAAAAAAGTATTGATTATATATATATATATATATATATATATATATATATATATATATATATATATATATATATATAATCAATATATATATATATATATATATATATATATATATATATATATATATATATATATATATATATATATATATATATATATATATATATATATATATATATATATATATATATGCATATATATATATATATATATATATATATATATATATATATATATATATATATATATATATATATATATATATATACATATTTCATTTCTAATAAAAGAATGATTCCACTTCCAAATTTTGTTTAATGTTAAAGTTGTTAGAAACATTTGAAATAAAATTACTATTCAAGTTTGTGTAATATTTGTATGCAGATAAAATAAAATATGCTTTATTACAAAATAAATCACAAGATTATTACTTTGAAGTTTCTATTTTAGCTTTAAACTAGCAGTAAGCGACCTATAATACAGTTTATTAGTAACTAAATCATTATTATCAATTTAACTTATTTTTATTTGACGTTTTAAAAAATAAGGATTTAAAAATAATAAAAATAGTCGACTATTATAAGAACATAGCACAACTCATATTTAGCTAGTTGTATGCCCATGCTCAAAACAATAGCAACTATAATAAGTAGAATAAATTTTGATAATTATAATCAAACATGACCAATCTTTCAGCAGTGATCGGTTTTTAAATTTTTGAAATATTGAAATTCTATTCAAAAATTTATTACAATCTAGGATTGATAAATCATAACTTTTTTTTTTTAAGTGCCCTCAGAATTCCTTGCAGTCTTATCACAGAGCACCGCGGAAGAGCATTTAATAGGAAATTTACGTCTCCTTTCCAACCAATGTCACAAAACTTGCCCAGAGGTGGGTTTGAACCACGGATCTTCTGTTTCTGAGGCAAGTGCGCTACCACTGCGCCACAGCTGCTCAATACCGACCCAATACCGACGCAACTTAAAACACCTTCCAAAAATACATTGGGCAAGCATGTCTAAAATCATCATAACGCCATATTGATTTTACAATCTAAAGCCTAGATAAATCCAAATGTAAATAACCCAACACTGATTAAATTTAAATAGATTAAGGTTAACCTTTATGCAATTAAAATAGTAATAACAAAATCTTATTCCGATAAACATTAAATGCAACGTTGAGACAACTTAAATTACAGTGCTGTGCTAATTAAAAACTGAAACGCTAAATCAACGTAAAATATAACACTTGGATATTTGTTGTTGGCAACGTTGCATTTATTACCAAAAGAGTATAAAAACAACGTTCGCAATTGATTTTGTATCAAAGTAACTCGTTCAAAAAACACCTATGGGACTCTATTAAAAGATAATGCTGGGTATCTTATTTGAGTTCCGTATCTTATTTGAGTTACTGCTTGTTTTTTAAAATCCATTTTTTTATGTAAACATTTTTTGTGATTATATTTTCTTCTATATACTAGCAGCAAATAAATATTTAAAATTTTACTTTTGTTTTACTTTAGATTGTACTTGTTTCAATTTTTGTATTTGGGAAAACTTCTGCAAAAAATGGTACTTTTTTCAAGCTAATTTTAAATTTTTATAAAAAGAAGCTGACACAGTCCTTGAGTTGATCAAACAGATCGATAGCCGTTTTGTCTGTTTAACAAAAAATATTTTTAAGTTATATATAAACTTGAATTTTTAGATGAAATCACCTAGATTGCATCTTTTATTTAGTTAGGTGAAATATTTGATGATGAAATGAAAAATGAGCACAAAACTTGTTAGGGACGTAAAAGTGTATTCCATCTAAACCTTCTGATTTGAACTTGTTTAGTTTCCAAAGGAGTGATGGAGTTGTTGGAGTTGATGGAGTTGTTATATGATTGTAGCTATACTAATATATTAAGTTGTAACAATGCCGTTTAATTCTTTCATAGATGTTATTTAAGTTTTAACTTTATTTTTTGTGTATAGTTTTGTATATATATATATATATATATATATATATATATATATATATATATATATATATATATATATATATATATATATATATATATATCGATATTAGATTCTGCTACTATATATTGTTTTAGATTCTGCTGATATCAATATTAATAAATGTGCAAGTATATGCAGATTATGGTACACATTTTCTACTTTTTTAAAAATAAAGTTTGTTGATTATTTATACGTACATAAATATAAAGCTGTTTAAACATAAAACATAAATCTGTCAATGAAACTGTTCAAAAATCCTAAATAGTTCTTTAGAATTTAAATTAAAAAATTATTTCACAAAACAGCAATGCGCTTTTTTCTGTAAAACTTTAAATGAACAAAATCCTGAAAAAAAAAACATATATTTAAACTTAAAAACGAAAGTAAACAACTTGACTTTTGTAATTTGTATTGTAATTACAATGAACGGATTTAATGAATTTCAAGTACATCGTAACAATGCAATAACAAATGTTAAAATAAAACCAAACTCTAACATCAACCCAAACAATTTTACTTGGATCTTTATAGAATTTTTATGTAGAGCAAAAACAAATTTGCTATCAAAAACATCTCTCAGAAGAATTTGATTTCCTCATAGATACATTTTTTGAAAGCTACTATAACAAAGGTTATATTATAAAAATATTCAAAAACTAATAAGCGTTTCAAAAAAGACTACATCTAAACATATAAATAAACATTTTGTTAAACTACATTGAACATTGAATACCTATTCCATATCCCCAAATTCTGAAGAGAATTTAGAAAACAAAACATCAGAGTTATATTTACTTCAGCTCCCAATTATTATGCATATTGTGCAACAACAAAACAAAGCAGTCATCAAACTCATAATTACGGTTTTTGCAAACTTAAATAACTTTCTTTTGTTTAGAATTAAGAAACGAATTGTTTTTAAACTTTAGTTGATAGTTATGGTTTAAAATTTTGAAGTAGAAATACTATTTAAGAATTGTAATCAAATTATATTATTGCACAATATATTTATAAGACTGACCAAAATATTGATACAACTATCTTACGAACTAAAATATTAAAAAATGTTCCTTTAATGGTGTTAAAAGAGTATTTTATAGTTAAAATGTTGTTAGTATTACTTATGTTGTTTTGATAATCATTTAAAAGGTTGGTATTTATAAAATGTAATTTATATGAAGTTTCATAGGCGGTTTCAATTTATTTTGTTTCTTTTTGAGATATTAGCATAAGTTTTAATTTTTTATTGATTATGATTTAATAAATGTTCGGAAATGAATTATTTAAGTGTATATTTAAATGCGCTTCTCATTAAATAAATTAATGCTAGAGTAATATAAACTAAAGTATCACAATTTTTGAATCAAAAAATGTTCGAGAAACAATGTTGCCATTATAAAATAAATTACTAAATAGATTTTTTAAACCAGTGACAAAGGTAAAAAAAACCTAATAATTTTCATTTATATTTATATACGAAACTTTAGCCTAAAATTAAGTTGTTTTTTTAGAGTCAATATCTCAGCAAGCTTTAGAATCGAATAGGCTTATTACGACTTTGAAAACAATACCTAAAGAATATGTGGTATCACTTGAAATGTTTTTAACCTCTTCTTTTTCCTATTGGACTAGCATTGTTCATTTTACTGTAGGTGATAATTATCTTAACTATGGAGACAGAACCCCAGGCCTTTTTTTTCATGATTATATATTGCAAATTTGCTCACCCGTTAATGGTATTGCATCTTATTGCGTCTACTCAAAACCACTTGAACTTATGAAATGGACAACGATCAAAATAAGTCAGTTATTTTATAATGGCTATCACAACTATACAGTTCAAATAAATAACGAAACAATCAATACATGTATAAATACTTATGCATTAGAGTTCACAAATGTCAAACTTTACGCCGGCAATCCATGGATACCAGCTACACCTGGATATATAAGAAACCTTGTTGTAAAAAATGCTTGCTCAGGTAAAAATTTCAATTTTTTTATATTTAGAAGTGAATAGCTTAATTATGTTTTATTTTTGATTATATTGTTAATTAAAATTGTTTGGTCTATAGTTTTCCATTATGTAATGGAAAACATTTTATAGGCTATGCTTGAAACATAAACAAGATTGATTTACATTTAATATTTAATGGAAGTTTATGCCTTTCCATTTACCCTTCCTGTCTCATATAACTTATGTGGTCAAGCCAGCTTTGAATCTCGAACCTTTAAAAGTCAAAACTCTTATCAATGCGCCACTGCTGCAAAAGATACGTAAATCTTTTCAAGTCTATAAAACCAAACGTTTTCAGTTAAAATAAAACTTAAAGTAATTTTTAAAACAACTTTAATATTCAGATGCTTAATTATTCAAGTTTAACATCATTGTAAACCTAAAAACCATAACTGAATCTTTTCAGCAACTGACATTGTATTGAAACCGGCGCGAGTAGGTGTCAGGTAAGCAAGTTTGATATTTAAATTTTGCCAAGAAAAAAAAAAAGGTCCTCGTTTTTTGAACTTGCCAGCTGCCTTGTTGATACTTGCCCATTTACTGTCTAAATTTGCCGACGTAAATAGTCTAAAACGGTCAAACTTGCTAACTAAACGAACAAAAAGTTTATTGATAATCACACCTTTCCTCCCCTCTCGCTTACTCAAACCCCCCCCTCCACCTCCACACACCCCCACACTTCCATCGCACCAGCTTTATTTTATTAAAATGCAGTAATAGTACCTTCCCAATTACAATCAAACTATCTTTATAATAATGATTTCAAAGTATCAACGTCAACATTTTTTCTTTGCCTGCTGTAACAATAAATAATACTAAATAATAAAAAGTTAAAAAAAAAAGGTAGGGTAGAAGGAGATAGTTTAGGAAAGGAGTAGCGAAGGACAATTTAAAATAAAAATACAAGCTGATTAACCAAATTAAATATAATATTTGATAAAAATTACCTTTGCACGAAACCATCACATAATTTTTTCAGCCATTTAAATAGCTTTTCTTCAAACATTTAATGACTTTTGATCATTATTTATTTTGCGAGGAATTTAATGTCTGTGTTTCTCGACAATCTTATACGCAAGTTATTTTATTAAAAGTTATAAATAATTAAATTTTTAAAACTGTGCGCAACTTTTTGGGTTCTCTAAAAGTAAATTGTCTTACCGAAAAAATTTTTTAGAAATAATACAAAGATAAAATGAATTAAAGATTGAAAAATTTTTCACCATCTATGTCATTTTTATACTTAGTCCATTGTTTATGACATTGAAACATGGTTGAATAAACTTTATTTTTTCAATTAGTTTAAAAAAACTTTCATTTCACAATCTTTACTTTTTTTATTATTATCTGTAATTTTTTGATTACTATTTGTTCTTCTCTATTTACTTTTTTATGATTTTGTTGCATATTTGTAAACTTTTTACAAACTTATTTATGCATTTTGAAGGTTTTAGTTTACTCTAAAACCGTTTCTTCTTGCAAATAATTCAATTTCTATCAAACATTATTAAACTTCTCTCTTTCAAGTAGTATGTTCTTAAAATTGTTTTGGGTCAATTTGTATTAATTATAAACAACAACATAATATATATTTGTATGTGGATTTAAACGTGGTTTTTTGTTGAACTGATGAAATTTGTTATTTTTCAGGGTCTCTTCAACCAGTTCAGAGTTTTTACTATCTTTGAATATATGGCTTTAAGTATATATTAAATGAGAAATTACACTTTTGCTTGCACATTTTAGTTATACTTTGTTTGGTATCAAGATGTATATACTTTATTATTTCCATAAAATAAAAAAAAAAAATAATAAACTGTTTTTATTATCACTTAATTTAACATTCAAACAAAAAAAAACAGTTTTAAGGAAAAAGCAACATAAAGTTTGTCAAATAAGTCAAGGTTGATAATCGCCAAATAAATTGTAATCAAAACAATTTCATAATTTTTCAGTAATGTGTTAGTGTTAAAAATGGTGTGTTATTGTATAAAATAATTATTGTGTAAAATACGATATTGCATAAAAAGAGGAGCCAAAATACTTTGAAAAATTTGAGTGAGCCATAACAACTTTAATAATTAGGATAAGTCTAGTATAAATAAGTATAAATAAAGGACAATTTAGTATAAATAAAAATGGTGTAATGGTACTCCTCCAGCTTATTGCATTACATAAACCACATATCAAATTCCGTATCAAACGGATTAAATTTGTATCATGAGTCATAACTAGCAGACGCAGGCTGTGCTTACGATTTTTTTTTTTTTTTTCTTTTTTTATTTAACCATAAGTAATGAAAATTTACAATGATAAATTATAAATTTACATAAATAAGGTTAGGTGTCACTCATATAGTTGAAAACTAGTCAATGGAGTGACACCTAAAAGAAAAGAAAAAATAAAAAAGGAAAGAAAGATAAGCAACAATAACAATAAAGAAGATTTGAAAAAAAAAAAAAAAGAGGAAAAGGAAGTTAAAAGTAATAATATTTATAAAACTAATAGTAGAAACAATAATATGAATAAAAATAATATAAAAAATAATAACTGCAGTATAACAACGTAAAAGGAACTATAAATCATAAAGAAATAATAAGATAATTATAGTATAGTTAATAATTATAAAATAAATTTAAAGAATAGTTATAACAATAATGATAAAGCTACTGCAACTACTGAACTACTTAGACTATCATTATAGGTAATAATATTAAGGCAACAAAAACATGATATAAATAATAATAATAGTAATAACAATAATAAAAATAGTAGTAGTAACAAGTTAAAGATGTAAAATTAAACAAATCATCAAAAAGACGCTGTGAACGGACGCTTTTTTAAAAACGTTTTTTATTGGTTTTTGTTAAGTCTAAACGAAACATTTCATCGTTTTTAAAGTTGTTCCTAAAAACTTTTTTTACGTATAAGATATTTAAGTAAATAACTTGTATTAAACAGGAAAAAAAAACTTTTTACCAATGAAAGTTTAGGTGTAACAGCATAGATCTAAATGAAGAACAAAAAGTTTAAACATTTTATGTTTATTTACAATTTAAATGCAAAAGCATTAGAAAATAATTTATATGCTATTCTAATTGAGCACTCTTTAAACGATTGCCTATTAACTTATTGACTAAATTAAATTTTGCTGATCTTCCTAAACAGAAAAATACCATAGAAATCCTATGCGCATTTCACTTGCAAGCGAAAAAATGCATTAAAATATAAATAATAAGAAGTAAAAAATAATGTAAAAATTCATACAGCACATGAAATGGAACAATATAAACGACATGCACACCCCATTTATTTCAAAATTACTTATAATTGCTCTAAAAAATAAGTTAAAATAAGTAAAAAAAATGTATATGGTTAAAGAGAGGTGGAACATATTTTCATATTTTGCTCTTATCGTTATATATAAAAATTGAATTTAAAAAACAAATATAAAAAATTGCGCACACCAATCTTTCATACAGCCTTACATTGAAATAATTATTTAAGAATATTAGATATAGTAAACAACTTTGAAAAATTATTAAAAAGCTTCCATAAACGTGCAAAACTCAAAAAAACAAACTCATTTAAAAAGTTTAGAAATTAAAGACTCTGTAACACTTTATGAGTGCAACTCACATCTCTTTAGTTCTTTGATCAAGAATAAGATTTGTCAATGAATATAATTACAAATCTTTACGATGTGAAAAAAATTGCTCATTTTTTAACTAAGGCAGAGTCACTTTCCAAATTATTTAAAAACAATGATTTTTTCTACAAAAAAGCTAAAAAAGACATCATTTCTCAATATTATGTATACAAAGCTATTTTTTTAAGTATTTACAATATAATAGCATTTACAAGTTCCACTTGTAAATGCTATTATATTGTAAATACTTCTAACAGGCCTGCTATATATGACATTATTGATATATATATATATATATATATATATATATATATATATATATATATATATATATATATATATATATATATATATATATATATATATATATATATATATATATATATATATATATATATAAATATATATATATATATATATATATATATATATATATATATATATATATATATATATATATATATATATATATATAAATATATATATATATATATATATATATATATATATATATATAATATATACATTTATTTATATTTATAAATATATAGATCATAGAGTATACAATATAGAGAATTAAAAAATATCTTTAAACGATAAATAACTAAACAAAATTAATAATACCAAAATAATCAACCAAACAATGCTGACATTTTTAAATAACCGAGTTAGCGCATAATATATTATGCACTAAGTTAATATATAACTTTTCTACTTTTAATTTAAATTTTTTTGAGGACGTCCATAAAACCTCTTTGAGACAACTTATTTCTAAGGTAATTAGGACGTCTAAAAAAGGTCTTAGGGACGTCAATAGGACGTCTTAATATGGAAGTCTCGATAACGCCTTTATGTTAATGTCACTAGGACGTCCTAACAAAGACGTCTTTACCGGACATCTTTAGGACGTTCTAATTTGGTCTGAGACGTCTCGACCTAGTTAAGATTCCGTAAGACGTCTGATTGACGTCTTTGCCTTGGGATCTTTCGAGTTTTAGATTACTTTACTGAACTGTGCAAGACAATCACCACACGTTTTTTTATAAACAGCCTAATAAACTATCATAAATATACTATCATATAAACTGCCGTGTTAAATAAATTGATCGGTAAAATTTATAAAATGATATTCTGCGCATGCGTTAGTTTACGGATACTTTTTTATAGTATTCACGTTAAATAGGTGTATCGATAAATATAAAGACAAATTAAACAGTCAAAATAACATGGTTTCTAAAATCTTTTGAAAAAATTTTACTTTAATCGAAACTTGGGCATTTTCAGAAGAAATTCGATTTTTCCGCATGAAATTACAA